ATGCAGAAAAACCAGCATTTCGTACGAGACTTCCTCCAATTTTCACAGTTGGCAACATGACAAAAGGACAAGTTTTGCAGCTTCCCCCATAGACACGGCGAGGCCACAGGAAAACCAGAGACTCGAGACGAGACAGGTGGGAGCACCAAAACGAGCATTTCGTGCGAGACTTCCTCCAATTTTCATACTTTGCAGCTCCAAAATCGACGTTTTCCTACGAGTTTTCCTTAGAACCTGAAAATTTGTAACCTCAAAATCGATCTTTCGTGCGAGGCTTCCGTCAATTTTCAACACATGTGAGAAAATGCCACGCCTGCCACGGAATTTGCACCTTGTCACCACTTGACGCAGCCCTGCCAATGCGATTTACAAAAACCACGCCACAGGACGCGTCTAAAGTGCTGCGCCTGCCACGAAAAATGACGATGGACACGTCCAAAGTGCTGCGCCTGCCACGAAAACTGCAACACATCTTCTGAAAACGTCACAAAAGTATTGCGCCTGCCACGCAAAACGACTTTCGACACGTTGCAGAACACGTCTGAATGTCACGAAGTGCCACGCCTGCCACGCGAAACGAAGCAACCAGACGTCTGAAACCTCCAAAAAGGACCACCTCTGTAAAACTTCCCATAGGCACGGCCATACGGTCCTCACGCGAACGGTTGCGGACGGTTGCGAACGGTTGCGAACGGTTGCGACCACAAACGCAACGTCGAGCGAACACACCCTCAACCCCCAGACCCCCAGAGTGAAACGGGAACCCTTGCTACGCATTCGGGAAAAAACAAAAGAACATGTCTATGCAAAGTATGATTCAACTAATACAATTGAACTCTTCAGTGATCTGGAGTGGTCCTTGGAATGTTGGTGCTCAAAAGAGTAATCATCACCATATAAAGATAACATCTATTTGAACAATAAAATAAAATATATGCGTATCCTACAAGTTAGGTTTTGCAAACAAAACATTAATAGTCAGGACATTGTATACTGAGTATTAGTCAGAAAACAGTCCAACCATGTCCCAGCCAGATACAAAAAGGGTGAAGACAACTGGATCGTGATTTGGGCATGGGTCAAAACCCAGGCACTGTTCATGAAAGTAGTTGGTTGCTGATGTATATGTTCATCCTTGCAATTGTTTCTATCATGACCTTCAATCCATCGGAGTTGTTCAACAGGTAGATAATTCAGTAGTAATTCAGTGTAGAAAGTATATTTGATTTGATAGCTAACTTGGCTGGGATAATCTTTTCATACGGCAATCTAAGGGTACAAGCACAACTTTACGCATGTTCACGACCCTTTTTGTTGGCGTGGGCTCTTTGGGTAGGAAACCGTCCTGTCTCAATTTGATGTTGGCTGCAGGGAAAGCACCATGCCCGTGCTATTGATGTCTTGTCGACGACGTGTTCGGCGATGGCAAGACATTTAATATATTATATACATTTGAATCATTGGAGTAGTTTGTACATTGTTTCACCAGAACTTTCTTCAGTTATCTTACAATATCTTACAATATATTACACATTTGAGCATGTCTAACTACAGGTTGTCTGCATCTCAGCCAGTTCTGCAATGGAGGTGTGTTTCCTTGCTTCAGGTGCTTCTCTGGCATCCTTTGCCCCGGATTAATTCGAAGGAAAAACTGGAAAGGCTGTGAAGCAAACTTTGGCAGTTCAGATTGGTGTCACCAGATTCAGACAACGACTCTTCTCCGAATACGGTTCCGAGATCCCGGATGATGAGGTTTTTTCTTCTGCTCCAGTGAAGCTTCAGATGGTGGTCTTGGGGGTTCATTCAGCTGATGCCCAACGAAACTAACAGGTAATCTCTGCATCTATGGACAGTGATTTAATATGATTTAATCGCCCTTGAACAGTTTCTTAATAGCCCTTCTAATCCCAATGTCACAGACGAACATGGCAACACGCCATTGCACTATGCATGACAGGACATGTTGAAAGCATTCTGCTGTTGCTTGAGGCGGGTGCTGAAAAGGACCTACTAAATAATGAAGGAAATGGAAGAATGACGCCATTGCATGTAGCAGCTCAGTGGGGCAATCTTGATGTTGTTCGTTATTTGGTGGAAGTTGGTGCTGACAAAAATCAAGCCAACAATCAGGGTGCAACGGTATTGTACATGGCAGCTCAGAATGGCCATCTTGATGTTGTCCGTCATTGGTGGAAATCGGTGCTGACAAAAATCAAGCCAACAATCAGGGTGCAACGGTATTGTAAATGGCAGCTCAGAATGGCCATCTTGATGTTGTCCGTCATTTGGTGGAAGTTGGTGCTGACAAAGATAAGGCCAGGGCCAGGGATACCGGTTCGACACCATTGTGGATTGCAGCGCAGAATGGCCATCTTGATGTTGTCCGTCATTTGGTGGAAGTCTGTGCTGTACAAGATCAAGCCTCAAATCAGGGTGCAACATCATTGTTCATTGCAGCTGAGAACGGCCATTTTGATGCTGTCCTTCTTTTGGTGGAAGTTGGTGCTGACAAAGATAAGGCCAGGGATAACGGTGCAACACCATTGTTCATTGAATTCATTGCAGCTCAGAACGGCCATCTTGATGTTGTCCGTCATTTGGTGGAAGTTGGTGCTGTAAAAGATCAATCCCTAAATCAGGGTGCAACGGTATTGTACGTGGCAGCTCAGAATGGCCATCTTGATGTTGTCCGTCATTTGGTGGAAGCTGGTGCTGACAAAGATAAGGCCAGGGATACCGGTTCGACACCATTGTGGATTGCAGCGCAGAATGGCCGGCCATCTTGATGTTGTATGATGTTGTCCGTCATTTGGTGGAAGTTGGTGCTGTACAAGATCAAGCCTCAAATCAGCGTGCAACATCATTGTTCATTGAAGCTGAGAACGGCCATTTTGATGTTGTCCTTCTTTGGGTGGATATTGGTGCTGACAAAGATAAGGCCAGGGATAAAGGTGCAACACCATGGTTGATTGCAGCTCAGAATGGCCATCTTGATGTTGTCCGTCATTTGGTGGAAGCTGGTACTGACAAAGATAAGGCCAGTAATAACGGTGCAACACCATTGTTCATTGCGGCTCAGAACGGCCATCTTGATGTTGTCCGTCATTTGGTGGAAGTTGGTGCTGACAAAGAGAAGGCCAGGGATATGGGTTCAACACCATTGTGGATTGCGGCTCAGAACGGCCATCTTGATGTTGTCCGTCATTTGGTGGAAGTTGGTGCTCACAAAGATAAGGCCAGGGATAACGGTGCAACACCATTGTTCATTGAATTCATTGCAGCTCAGAACGGCCATCTTGATGTTGTCCGTCATTTGGTGGAAGTTGGTGCTGAAATAGATAAGGCCGTTGGTGTTGGCACCTGGCATCTCAACATGGTCATTCGGAATTTGTTTGCTTTCTGGAAAAAATGTGCGCCCAAATCGCACCTCACTCCAGAGGGCAGGTCCTGAAAATGGTTCGATGCAACAGCTGGGTCTGTAAATGGGCACTACGAAGCGTGGATGGCCTTTGTCAACCTCATGAACTGGCGGCAAATTAAAAGGTCTCCTGCGTCCACTTTCATGAAACCCATGTGAAGGGATTGAAAAACACATGGGTTTCCCTTAATTCCCTACAACTCGATCAACTCGTTCTGATGTATCAACGGGGATGGTTGACTGGCCAGCCACTGCCGGACTTGTGCACCAAGATCCAAGCCGATGCTTCCCTGTTGCAGTGGAAAACCCTGGACCCACAAAGCATGTCAATGATATTTTGCGGTCGCTGGAATCTTGAGGAAGATCCCTCAAATAAAATTGAATCAATGATGTGTCCAGGGTGACATCATGTTATAATTGTTTTTTGGAACGCTTTATTGCGCGAATTATTAGTATATTGTAGTTATTTGGATTATCCGTGTGTACTGTGCTGCTTTTCTGCGTCTCTTTTTTGGTTGTGTTTTTTGTTGCTTTCTTGGCTATTATTTTTTTTTCTGTTTGTATGCTTTTCTGCTTTTCTGCTTGGTTGTTTTATTTTGCTTCTCTGCTGCTTTTCAGTTTCTCTGTTTTTGCCTTTAAACGTGCTTCCTTGTTCTTTTGCTCGATTGCAAGTGCAGCTACAACTACCTTAAGGACAGCACCAGCAGCACAAACAACAAGAACAGCAAAAGCAGCAGGAACAACAAGAACAACACACGCAGCAAAAGCGACACGATCAACAAGAACAACTGGAACGGCAAAGGGGGAACATAATTATTATAATTAGAACAAAATTGTCTATGCGTTCCTTGTGGAGGAGGCGTTGTGCTCCCCTCCAGTTGTTTCTATTTTGTTGTTTCGTGCTCTCATGTTTGACATTTTTGGTTTCTTTGCTTCAGCGACAATAAACACAACAAAAAAACAAAAAACACTATTATTACAACTTTACAACTATACAACTATAGCTGCAGCACTACAACATACTACAACAACTAAGAGACAACAACCATCAACAACCAACAACCAACAACAGCTTGCAAATAGCATGCCAAATGGAAGATTCCAGCTCCAAAATTCCGCAAATAGCATGCCAAATGGAAGGTTCCAAAATGCTGCAAATAGCATTGCAGCATGCAAAGTGGAAGGTTCCAGCTCTGGAATGCTGCGCATACCATAAAGCCATGGAAGGTTCAAGCTCCAAAATGTTGCAAATGGCATGCAAAATGGAAGGTTCCAGCTCCCAAATGCTGCAAATAGCATGGAAAATAGCCACAACCAGAAGTCCAGGAAAAATCCCTTTTTAAAACCAACTTAACAATGTCCTACCCTTTTTTCCGCCCATCTACTGAATGATAAGTGATGATATTCTAAGCCATCGTATGAATCCAACAAAGAATTGCCTACAAATTCTACCCAAAAGTGCGTGGTTTTTTCTTCCATCCAAGCATTGGAGGTTTATCATTGGGTTTTACGGCATCAAGACGTTCTTTGTCAATCAACCCTCCAGGTCTTGTGTGTCCATGTCGTTTGACCACCCCGTGAGGCGTTGCAGGGGGCCACTACTCGAAGGAGGATCGACTTCCAGCAAAGTCGCTGGAACTTCCGTGGGAAGAGAAGCCCATCATCGATTGATTGTGGGATGTGTCAAACCTTGGGAGATACAATTTGCCAACTCAGATATGTTTGGTCCAAAGAAGTGAACAAACTGTCTTTGTGGTGTTTTGATGAAGAACATAGCACCGTTTTGGGGGGCTGCAATTTTGTTTCCTGAAGTTTAAGACAGGCCCTTGTATAGTGCCGCCACGTTCACAAATTGGTCCCATATGGACCTAGAAATTCAGCAGTGAAGAGTTGCCAGTGGGAATCATCAGTCCCCGAAAGCTAGCGCCGTTGGAGAAAGTAAACAGTTCATCACATTATGTATTACCCTTCGGTAAATCGAACTTGGCAATGTACAATCCCTTATACAATCTCAGACATACATTACTTTGAATGAAGGTGTGAATGTGAAAATCATCCATAAATGGTCGATGTTCCATTGCCATCTTTGATTGCCAGAGGGTACAGATACAGTAGGTGCAGTTTTTTAGGACCTGGGGTACTTCATTTTCATGACAGCACCAGAGATGTTGGTTGCACAAAACATGCAACACATATTTTTTTCATTCTTTTTCAAGAGAGAGCCTGTGGTGAAGATCTGACATGGCCAAAGTGACCAGATGATAAGACATCCCCATTGTACAGTATTATTAAGTATTATTGTCATTTACTGTAGGGTCACTACCTGCAAGTCTATGGTTTCACTTCCCACGTTTCAAACGGTGATCCCGCAAGCACGGCGACCGGTCAAGCTGGTTCACCAGAGGTAGAGTCCAACGTTGGCCCTCTGGTGGGCAGAAACACTTCCCGGGCCGGCCTGAAATGCTGATCAAAACGATCAATCGGCCTGCCAATTGAAAGGACTGCCAAGAGGCTGGACCTTAGTGACTATAGCAGTGTCTTTGTGTTCTAATCTTAAACATATGTCCAGCTGTCCAGAGGTATGATGGACCAGTATTGTTGAATAATCAGTATGGTTTGAGTCTGTGGTGAAAGTGGGAAGCAACAGCTTCCGGGTTGTGGTAAGTAGCTTTGGACTACTACACTATGCAGTTGCCATGGATTTTACAGTGGTCATGTGTCAATGTATCATGGAGATTTCACCTGCAAAAATGAGGATCTGTCTCTGAAAGTGTTGGTGTTTCAGAGGCTTGGTTCTGGGGATTTCGCAGTGAACATAGTGCAGCCCCAAGAAAACCCGCGCGACACAGATCGGGCTTCTGCAGAAAAGCGCTTGGGGTGCATTTCCTTTTCTTAGTATGGCGAAGCAGCTGGAAGAATTGCAGTAGGACCGTTTCTGGTTGTAAACCGGAGCCTGAGTTATTGCAGAGGTCTACCAAGAACATGGTTTGACCTGGAGGCCTTTGTCTCCTTACTACCATTTTTGGCATCCGTGTTTGAACCATTGCGACGGCTGCGGGGCGTCTGGAGGGACAGCGAAAGGAGGCCGGGTAGGGAGGCATCGTTCGTGCTTGTCAGAATGAGAAGCTAGCAGCCGCGGATGTCGAACACCTTTCCATGTTGCAGCAGAAGATGCTGCGTGCGCATCCATGTCATCCTCGGCCTAAAAGGCATCTCTGGGAGACTGGTATTCCATCAGAGTTTCCTGAGTCGAGCAGCTTGCAGCTTCAACTATCGAACTTTGGTTTTGTCTTCACTGACGTATTTGGAAAGTTGTTGCAGTTTCTGGTCAATTTTGAATGATCAATGTGTGGATAGCCGCATGCCTCTGCCGCATCTGACTTAACCACTTATCTATTTTCTGGCATTGCAAGGCAAACCAGCTATGTTGCTCTCCACTTACTTGTGAGTTGGCTTGCTACTCCGCGCAAGTATTTGAGTAATCGATTGACACTCCAGCAGGGGGAGCACTGCAAGTACAGTCCGCCACAGTCCCTTTCTGCAGCACTCTCACCTCAAGCGACTCAAGCGTTGCAATATGTTGCAACTCAATGCTCGGCTGAATGGCCAGTTCCTTCACACCAATTTGGCTGGGAAATCTTCCCCATGATCCCGACAAGTTGGTCCAAGCAGAGAAGGATCTTGCCACTGTCCTGGCAAAAGCCTGTGCAGACATGGGTGAGCCAGTGGACGCCAAAGATCTTTCCTTCCGGTTCCATACGAAACTGGTTTGTATATAGTTGCCAAGTTCATTGTATAGCGTTTTGTTCTTTGAACATATTTGATTTTATGATATACTATATAATTATAATTATATAATATGTGTGTATACATATATCTGCTACCCATGTGACTTTGCTGATTTCGTGTGCCGGACCAGGAGAGGTTCCTCTTCCAACGGCCAGGGCCTGGGTTTCGGCTTCGCATGGCTTCCATCAGCTGTGGCGCAGCATCTTGTGCAGCTGGGCCGCCTCACCTACACTGAGGACGCAGATTTCGCCACGGTGCGGGAGAGTCGCGGAGCTGTTCCCCCTCCGCCAGCCGCAGCGGTGGAGGGGGAGAAGATCGCAGTGGCCGTGGGGGCCAGCTTTGTTGCGGAGGAGTTTTGGGCAGACTTCTTGTTGCTGAGTGCTGGTTTCAACTAGTTTTCAAGATGTTAGGTCTTCCATTATTTCTAAGGCCAATGTTGCTAGATTTGGTGCCTGGGTGGACAAGAAGCAGCAACAAGGTTGGCCCTATCCAGCTGGCAACAGATCTTTGGTGAAGCCAGGGTTGCAATAGATCTTCGCATCAGTCAGAAGCACGGCCTGTCAGAGTTGGGACACTTGCTGAAGCAAAGGCGGAGCTTGTTGAGGCGATTTCCTGCTGTGATTCTCTGGAGGCCTTCAAATCTTTTGGGGGCCGAGAAACGGGTGGAAAGCTTGATAGCAGCTGCACGATCTGCTGAGCATGTCTTGATTTTTATGCAAGTGAAGGAGAGCCAGACGGAAGAGGAACATCAGGCAACTCATGACTTCCAAGCTGGATTGCGTCACTGAATGGCTCTAAAAATTAGATGCGGTGTTGTTGTGATGTTTTGGAAGTCACTAAAATACATCGAAATTCTTTGAAATGCTATGGTCCATGGTCCATGGTCCATGGTCCATACCCTTCCCAGGCATGCTGAGAGAGTTGGCTATTTGGTTTTCCTTTGCCAAAAAAACCTGCTTGTGCACGGAAACCTCATGAAACCTCCATGTTTTTAGTGTTTTGTTTTGGATGCTATAGCTGTTTTTCTCCGCATGATGTCACTGTTTGTCCACATCCCAGGTGATGTGGACCTTTGTGTGGTTGGCTGGCCAGATCTTGTGTCTGGACGGCTATTATGTCGAGCTCATTTTCTGTATTTTTTGCCATGCATAGTGGAACTGGTGTGAGGGTTTCTTCAAATGAGGAACCCCAAGTTATGATCCAGCTTCATGCAATAGATGGGTCATGAGATGATGCCATTTCTATTTCTATTTTTTTTTGTAGGTACCCCTACGCATAGCTTAAGAAACACCGATGTTGATGTTGCATTGTGTGGTCTGGCATAGTGTCCCAGGAGGGCGTTAGGGAGTTGCCTACTTCGATTCCTTCGATTTGCTGGCATCCTTTGAATGATAGTTTTTCGAGGTGGTTTTTGAATTGGGATGCTGACCCGATTTGAACGCTTTGAACGGGGTAGTTCACCACCAGATATCATCAGATATCACTAAAATTCTTTGAACATGCTCCCCCATTCTTCTTTTTGTCCATCATGGACTGTTGCCAAGTATTTCCATGTGTTACTTTACTCCCGGCGTAAACGGCGTAAACAATGCATGAAGCAGCGGATTGTATCACAACAATTTGTATCCCCTCAACACGATTGGAATTGAAAGCCAGGACAAATGCTAAATGGTCAGGTTGCACATCGATGCCAGTTCAGTCCCAAATAGATAAACTGAACACAGCACATTGCCACATTCTATAAATGGCCTACATTGACAACCCCGAGCCTTCGGGGATCTAAAAAGAGGCGATGAGTGATGTGGATACATCCAAAAATATCCTTCCCATCAATACGGGGAAATCTGCAGAAAAGTTAATTGGTAATATTGGTAGGTTTAAAAAACATAATAAAACATGTAAAAACTAAGGGTTTTCCTAATTTTCTGGGTATAGATTCTCCCTTAACGTAACGAGTTTCATGTTTTGTTGAGTCTCCAGATGGATCGACTTTCCGATGGCTCCATCACAACGATCAGTTGGCCAAAGAATCGGTTTCTTTGGAGTAATGTGGTAAATCCAATGCCATAAACCTACCATGACTGGGGATGGTTAAGATGGTAGGTTAGTATACCATAGAAATAAACCCAATATGGTAACCATATGGTAGGTTTATGGCAATATTGGAGATGGTAAACCAATTTATACCACTCATTTGCAATATTGGGGATGTATTATAGCACCCATAGAAATGATGATGTTGAGGATGGCGTTGGGTTTATTTCATGGCTGGTACCATAAACTGGCAACGGCGTTTACGTTCCGCAGTCTGCTCGGCCGCCTGGGCCTTTTTCTTATCCCCAACACAACGATGAGTGGGCACGGCTCAAGATGATATACCCCATAAAGTTATAAAGTATCCTTTTTTCATTTTTTTCCATATCATATGTAAACCGCCTCATACATGGATGAGTACATCATGTACATCCAACAAAAATGACCAGGCATCTGTAGGTCCATTGGTGCCCGCAATGACCAGCCAACCAGGTCACGACATATCCGTGCGCAGCTTCCAACCCTGCAGCCGCTGCGTGTGCAATGCTTCTCCGTCGTTGCACCACTGCACTCCTTGGCCGGAAGATCAAGGCCACCAGAACGGGGCCTGGGCCTGGTGTGGGGGTATGGGTCAAAAGCCGGGTAGCCTAGCTGGGCAGAGAATGGAACACAATATTATATATATATATATATAGATAGTCATTCACACTTATTGTTTGTTATTAAGAAAACACTATTATGCTGTTCGATGACCATCCCAAACATGAAGATATTATGAATCAGACCATAGGACCAACATGCGCTCAATTTGTGTATCATAGGGGTGACTGAACTGAGGCATGTCCAGTCATTGGCAAAGTGTTGAAGGCATTTTATGGCGGGGGTTCGTCTATTTTTGACCCATACAACAGGGATCAAAAGATCAACCATCAAGTATACCTCTATGACCTCTATGACATCAAGTATAGCAAGGAGTGACCCAACCAGCAAGGGGTATCGACCAATGACGGATGTAGCGGTGTAACACATGACAACGGCTTAGGGTCAAGAAAATATGGGGGTGCATCATTTCGGATAGGGCACCCAGCATGTCCAATGTATGGTGTGCATAGTACAGCGGCTGGTGATGTCCTATTTGGGTTTGTCTAACAATGCAGGATTGCGGATACCCCAAAATTGCAATTTTGATGGGAACATAATGCTAAATACGTTTGTTGTGTTTTTTTAATAGAAACAACATAGATTTGTATTCTATGGATGATGTCTCTGGGGGTTACATTTGTTTGCATGTGTTCACCGTTGTGGGACGTCTAAAACTTGTTAAACGATTTCAACCAGGGAGAAAAATGACCTGCCTAGTTTGCATAGTCTTGTCCAATTCAATATAAGACAGCATACGTTCTCAAGCCTTCACATGTTTATTTGTTCGAAACACCACATCACTTCTTCTTAATTTTTCAAACTAGAAACCGGCTGATGATCTGGGTGGGCAATCCATGTATAAAAAGTTTCCTGATCTCTTACTTGTTTTGTAACATTGTAAAGTTTGGGAATTATTGACTTTCTATTGGGTGCTGAACTCATGGTTTTGTATTGCTTCCCTACAAATGAGGGGATGGTCAGTCATGACTTGGGTCCAGGGCCATGAAATTGTGCATGTTTCATCTTCCATTCCTTTTATTGGACATGCATCGATTGGCAAACCCATGTTTACCTTCCAAATGCTTTGCAACATGCAGACTACAGTTGGGTTGCATATAGGCTCATTTGGAAGCTTTTGGCCCTGAAGTCGAACAAATCCTGCGATAGGTCCCAAAGAGCGGAAACAGATAATCGGACCACCCATGCTTTATCGCTTGACCCCGCAACAACACACATTTCATACACGTTCTTGGGGTGCAAAGGGGCAACCGGTGAATGTTTGAGGCTGTTAATCACAGTGACGAGCACCGTGCATTGCCAGGTCTTTGTGTCTGACTGCGATCATACGCTTTGGAATGGCATCGTATCTGAAGATGGCGTGCATGGCTTGAAGTTCTCCGCCCCATACCTGGAGCTGCAACGGAAATTGTCGGAGCTTCAAAAGGCCCTGTTTGTTGGGCAATTGCTGGGAAAAACGGTGAAAACCTCTGGGGTGTTGCTAAGGCCCAGAAAGGAGTATGGTTTTGTGTAATTCTCTGCTCAGGCCAATGTTGGGAACACTTGGATTTGGGACTGAAGTGGGTATGATGGATGTAGATGGAATATTGGCTAACTAAAATTGAAGAACCCTCTAGAGGACACGATTCTTAAATATTCTTTGAGTGCCCATTTTTGACTTAGCGCTCTGAAACTTCGAAAATCTGGGGTCCCGTCTTCCCTGTTGGGAAATCAGCTCCAAACCAGGCTGGGCGATTGATTTGTCTGGCTTCCAGAAATTCTTCGGCTGAAGATGTTCTCAGCGTCTTCAGGGATCGCCCAGAATGTGTCTTGCAACTTCAACAATTGGTGGCCTGGGAGGTCCATTCGGGTGCCAAACCGGAAAGTCTGCAACGGCTATCCACCAAATTGGGCTTGTCCTTGGATTCCTTCGTCTTTTTGGATGACAATTTCTTCGAAGTCGAAGACGTTTCTCGCAGATGTCCCGAAGTCTTGCTGCTTCACGTGCCGCAAAAAGAGGAGGACTTCAAAGCGCTGTTGCAGCACAGCTGGGTGTTGGACGCCCATGGGACTCAGGTGGGGATGCTCTAAATCCGAACCACCCTTTCATTTGTGGCAGGTGATAGGCTGGGAAATCCCCAAAAAACTGGAGGCTATAAATATCTTTTAATGGGAGGATCTGTATAAATGGAGGCATGATGAAGCTTTCATCGGAGGGTATCCCCCAAGTTATGGATCGGTGATCCTCAAACAGCTACCTCCAATGACTGTGTTCCACCGTTATCCCTACATATCCCTATATTGTAAATGATACTGTATAATGTAGATCTATTTAAACACGATACAGAATCAATTGTATACCCGGACGATATTCCCTCGTGGCAAGTATTGTCTATAACATAGGTATCAGTATTTTAAATGCAACATATTTTAGATGGATCATATCATAGGATATTGTATGTTTCTTTTCTCTAGGTCACCGGTTGATGGATAGTTAGGTTGTTTTTAAATGATAAACTCGAATAGTTGGCTGTAAATGGGCGTATGGCATATATGAACCAGCTCAAGCCTTTTGTTGACAAGGTATCTAAGATTCACCATGTATAGGTCTAGATCCAAGACACCTGTGGAACAGGTCTTTGGCCTAGTTCTTTTCCTAGTATTCAATGGATGTGGGGTCGAAACGGGGTACCCCTAATTTTTCGATGGTAAAATACCATCATCCGCTGTTCTCAGTGCCTTAAACACTTTGATCTATACCCACATGAACTATTTAAAATCTACTGTTGATTGGTTATTACAGGGGGTTATACTTCTTGGCTTATCAGGATTATGAACTAGTCCATTTCACAGGGATACCAGCCTCAACCAGCCGACCCAATCTGCTGGAATAGGATATGGGTAGCTAGACCCTTCAAGATCCTTCAAGTACCCATAACAGTTTCTATTTTACTCATAATACGTTCAATACTTTCACCATTTGTCACCCATTCTTGAGGAGGGTATCTGGAGGGTCTAGGTCTGGTTACCCTCAAGGTAAACTAAGATAGTCATGGAACATCACTATGTTTAATAGGTAAATCGTTGAACTAAATGGGCCATGGCTTCCATAGTGATTTTCCCATTAATAGATGATTTACTTATTATTTACCTATTAAACATTGTGATTTACCTATAAAACCTAGTGATTTTCCATAGCCATGGCACCATGGTCAACCCCCCTGGCCAGGTCACCCGAGAGGACGAGCAGAGGACCGAGCTCTACCGGCAGAATGCGCTGCGACGGGCAGAGAGGGACCGGCACCCGCAGCTGGCGGAGTTTTTGGAAGCGCTGAAGGTGAGATCCATGAAGTGGTTCCCAAAATGATCCAAAATATGGTTCATATATACAATTCATGGCACATATATATATATATATGTATATAGTTTATAGCATATGTATATACATATATATATATGTATACAGTATACACTATAAAGTACTTCATAGACTATTATAGACTATTATAGACTATATATTATATGGGCTTTTACATGTATTTTTGGTGGTACTTTGATGTCCAACATGTCCATATTGTTCGTTTTCGTCCACATTTGCTGGCACCTTTAGGACCCCCAAATTTCGATATCCATCGTCCACATTTGCCCTGAATTCAGGTGGAAATTGACCTCCGCCAGCCAACTCTTGGGGACCAGTCTCGGCTCAGTCAGCTCTGCGGACGCACCAATCAATTCAACACCACGCAGCTACGCCTCAGCGAGAGCGAGGTGAATTCATGGGTCCAAAGTGAGACGCGCTATGTCCTGGCGGCGGAGGTCAAGGATAAGTTCCATGGATGGGGCGATGGGCGGGGCCCCATGACAGCGGGGGTTACTTTTAGCCAAGTTAAGCCTATATTGGCGTGAAACCAGTATAAGAAATTGGGTATAGCTGGGGCATGTCGTAGCAGGAAGATTCACCCCGGAGAAACCCTGATGTTGTATCTGGAAGCCGTTTGATGGTTCAATTCCATTGTTTGGTTGTTAAATCATTAGTTCAATTAATTCACATGTTTGATCATTTTTGTGTATTTCAAATCCTATGTGTGATGCTTAATTTCCCGTTTTACATGCCAAGATCTTGAATATCTTGATATATTTCCAAGATGTCTCTCACATGTTCCAAGAGTGTTCCCAGACTTTCTAATTCCATCCGCTTCCCAGTTTCATTATACTTCACTTACCCGTTTGTTATCATTATATATATCCCCTATTCAATTCTCTTTTACATCGTGCCATCCTCCTTTTGCAATATGATATATATATATATATTATATAGATATTATATATATATATAGTCCATTGTTTTCCCCCACAACTGTCCTATTAATTGCATTTTTTTAAAGAGACATTCGACAGGAACCCCTATGGAATCCGCATATTCTCATGGTTTAAAGTCATGAAAATCCATTGTTCCGGGCATTTCCGGTGTCGATGTTCCCTTTAATTATCCCAATCACCTCTCGAAAAAATCGTCAAATCATGTGAAATCCCCAAATTCCAAGGACTTCCCCATGTTAGTGATCCATTTTCCAAGGATTTCCAACACCTTTTGTAAGGTTTGGTGACTACGGCTTGGTGGCCAGTGCTTTCTGCAGCTTCACCACCAGCAGCCTGGTAGTGGATGGCCTGGTGATGAGCTGCCGCGTGCTGCATCGGGGCGTGGAGCAACGCTTGCTGCAACAGTTGGCGGAGACGGCACTGGCGCGGGGGAAAGCTCAGGTCCTGGTGAGGTCGGGAAAGGGTACCATTTTTTACGGGGGGGCAACAAAAATGGTGGTGGTCCCTGGTAATGTGTAGCATTTGGGTGATGATTTATACCACCATAAACATTGTGATTTTGGGTTTCTTATTGGGTTTACCACATTAATCCCTTCCCCCAAACTGATATGAAACAGACCCTAGAAACCATGGCTTGGTAGGACATGAAAACAGATATTTGTAAAAGAAAGGTAGGGATATCCTTACCAAAATTAACATGCGGCTTGCAAAAAACAAATCATGGGAAACTGGGTGGCAACCTATATATATATAATATACTTATATCGTTTTCCACCATTAATGACGGATGAACATTCAGCTATGTACCAGATAGTTTGACTTGAAAATGAGCAGGGTTTTTGAATGTGTCTGCCCCATATCCAGGTTCCGACCATCCAGCAAAAACGACTTAGCCAGAGGATTCCTGGCCCGTCTACATGCATGGTCGTCTTGCCCAGATGTCTCTGGTGGAGGCAACGGTTACAGCATGGAATGTGGGGAGCAGAACTTTTACTTCCAGGCACAAAAATTGTCGACCCTTGAAGCACATCATCTACAAGACTTTTCCACTGATACTGCTGGAGATGCCATCAGTCGAGAGCGTCAGGTCTTGTCCTGGACCAATGTGGTGGATGCTGAGGATTGGATGGTGGAGACTCCGGACAGGAATTGGACGCTTCGTGCCGCTTCGTGGCCGCAACTTCTGCAAAGGATCGCGGTGATGGGACCCGACATTCCGCAGAAATCAAAGGCATGCTGGCTCAGCGCAGGTGTCTGGATGTGGGGTCAGTTCACTCTGGTATTCTGATGTACCCTGGCCCATCTTTCAAAGATGGATAAAGATGCTTCCAGAATGTTCCATGGGTGATGCATCTTCCAGGGACGATCCCAGTTGGTTAAACACGTGATGTAAGAGAACCAAGTTTGTTTTACTTGGAGTAGGAAGGCGGGGTAAGAACATCTTGATTTTCCAACGGCTCTAAAGGCTGTCTATGACTAGCCTTAACTAAGCAAGCAATTGAAAATAACCACATCCTTTCCAGGGACGACGATTCCCACCATGAATATTTTTCCACGAGTTGCAGAAGCTACGGACCTCCGTTTGCTGAATTGGCTGCAGGTTGGGCTGATTTTAGATATTCTGGCACTATTGGAACTGGATTGGTCACCATAGTCATATCCTATAGGGTCGCATAGAGGCATGGCCGTTTTCGAAATTTCCCAATCAACTGTTTGCTGCACTGGTCCACCAGTACGCGATGGAGTTCAATCCCTAGGTATTCCAGAACTGGATGATGGGAAGATTTACGCAGAACTCCCTTTGTTTGGTGGGTAACAACCATGATTTCCTGTCGATTTTTCCTTAAACCGATCCGTTGAAGGCAAACATTGGAAAGGCCATGTCTCCCCATGTCCGAATCAATGGCTCAAGCCGCTGGTTTCTGCATCTCCGCTTCTCTTCCAGGCCGGTTGGATTCAAGAGGAAAATGCTGTGGAAAATGCTGTGGAAAATGGCCCAATGACTTCGATGATTTACCTATGCTGCATTCAAAGCTGGTGATTTTGCATAGCTATATGTTAAATTACCAATGTGTTTATATTGTTGGATTACCAGAGGATCAAAGATCTGGAATTGGGCTTAATGGGGGGATCTATTGTTCAGCCAAACCAACAATTATATAGGAAGACATTAGGTTTATCAGTTTGGAATCCTGAAAGAGGATGTGGCATGGAATGGATCCATTTGAGATAGTTTGGTACACCAAACAGCCAAGGGCAACCGGCAATCATGCACCTTCTCTTTGATTCGGGTTGTTGCTTCCAACATGTGCTGGAAAGCGTTGGAAGATGATACGGATTTTTCGTGAGATGGAGTACGTATGTAGCTTAAGAGCGAAACATATGATAAACGAGTGTTTTTTTTTCCGGGTTTCCCCCAAAGAATCAGGCTAAACCCATGATTAGCACTGATGATTTCTTTGGCTTCTGCAGGTGCCAACTTGCTCCAGATGGCGGTCCGTTGGCAGCCCAAGGGGATGCACAGACCACGATGTGTTTCTGATTTGTTTGCATTTTTGTGGGGTATTGGGAGTGACCAATGACGATCCACATGTATATTACTCTGGCTGGTGGTTTCAAACATTTTTTCCATTATATATTATATAGGATAATCTTTCCCATTGACTAATATGTTTCAAGATGGTTAAAACCACCAACCAGTACTGTATATTATATACTGTAATACACATGCAGATACGCTCTTGAGTGCACCTACAAAAACTAATACATGCGTGTAAGTATGTGCAAGTAGACAATACAGCAAACGCGAAATTAAACACATCTATGTGGGTAAATTATGACGATCTCACTGCAACCTCACTGGAATGATGATCAGTATATGGGGTAACCCGGGTAGCTACCCCAAAATTAGCCAAAGATGTCAGGTCAGTGAATTATGAACTACTGTAGAACTACTTGATCTATAGATAGATACAATATCTGGTTGGTGGTTTGGAGCATGTTTTATTTTTTCCATATATTGGGAATAATAATCCCAATTGACCTTCATATTTTTCAGAGGGGCGGAAACCACCAACCAGATATGATACAATAACAAAGCGGTGGAAACCTGGATTCAGTAAATCTCAGCATGGTCCAACCCTCGCTCGCCGAAAGAGTCGAGTCGGCCCAGGCAGCCTTGCCACTCGAGCCACTTGGCGCTTCGCCGTTTCCGGAGGCGTAAACATGGAAAAACCACCACTTTGGCGATGGAACAAAAACGCACAATTTTTCATGGATACATTATCTACAACTTGGCCATGTCCCATAGCATTCCATAGCTACGTTAGATTAACCAAAGGGCAATCTGTGTGAAGCCGAAACAATCCGGGGGGAAAAGATCTCCAATATTCACCCAATATTCCCCAATATTGGGGGATGTTTAAGAGTTTATAGGAAAAGAATCTTCCGAAAAAAAAAAAAAAACATGCTGGTTTTCAGGGATGTTGATGGAGCCCATTGGCAAAATCTTGAGAATCTGTGGTGATTGCGTGTAACCTCAAGCATGACTGGACACTATATATACGTATTTATCATCATTTATCTACAGATTGATACATTCTTCGGAGTTTAACATGAATCCAATTCTGGAGTTCTAGACTGAGTCAGTAGTTCGAAGCCAGTAAACAGCAGTAGCATTGGAATCATTGGAGTGATGAAGACCAAAGCTGGTTTTAGAACAATAATGTGTATACTCTCTATTGTTATTCATCAGCTTGCGAACTGGAAAAGAAAACATGTTTATAGGAAAATCTGCTCATCGATAAATGGACATTTTACATGGCTAGAACCAGAGGCTATACAAGTGTGTATGTAGTGTATACATGTAAGTGCATGTGCACAGGTTCAGTTCAAGATGGGTAACTTCGGGATTGGAAAAACGCAAAGGCCTTTACGGATTATACATCGTTGATCATCACTGTACATGTCCAAATATATGGAACAGTCAGTGAGTCAGTGGATGACTCTGGATGTTGAGGCATGTTGAGGACGAGATGTAATGGAATGCCATTCGCTATGTAATTAGTGTAATTGACATGTATCCGTATCATATTGGCATTGAATAATTTGCACCAAGTATAGTATTAATATACTATCATATTGACATGTATAGTATTAAATCTACCATTTCCCATGTTTAATTGGTTGGTGAAATTCCATCCTGCCTGGTATGATGACTCCAAGTTCCAATTGACTATCAATATCATCAATGAGATGATGGTTCACTGCTGGTGTGGGTTGTTTATTTTGACGCCTGCCCCTGTCCCAATGTTTTCTTGGGGCCAGCCTGTGTTTCTAGATCACCAACCGAAACAACTGACTTCTTGGTTGACATAATTGCTTTCTGGAAGTCTATTGTCAATAGAAATAAAGTTCCACCATGATTACATGTTAGACAAGATTCGTACTACAGATGTGTTTTTTTCCATTGTCACGTTACTATAGATTACCAGATGGTAATGGTTTGTTGATCTTGCCTCCACCCTTCACGACAAAACGTGATAGTTAACCATTGTTTGGACCAACTATTTCCTGGCCATGGATGCCCTAGCTTGTGGTGTATCCTCTGATAAGTTACTGTAAAACTTTGCTATGAGAAATCACCATTTTCAATAGATTCAATCATGGTACATCATTTATTTCTATGGGCCATGTTCATCCATTTTCCATAGCTATGTCACAAATTACTGGAGGGGAAATCCATGTAAATCCCATTAAATCCATGTACATCCCATTAAATCCATATAATTCATATAAATCTCATTAAATCCTATCTTAATTCCAAATCATGATAAACCCAGCTGTTTCCCACGGAAAGCCTGTCGCGGCAGTTGCCCTTGGCGGACTTTCACTGAAACCCAGCCGATGTTTTGGGCCTCAGCACAACCGTTGAGTTGCTGGTGAAGTCCCGGATTCGTGGATTTTCTAAATATATATATATATATTACATAATGATTTAGGAACAACAAAAACCTAGAACAAATACATAAAAATGATTGAAAAAGACAAGATGATACATTTGATTTTTTTTCTAAATCCGTTAGCTGCCGGATTTTTCTATCCTTTATTTTCTATAGTTCTGTCGGTGACCATATGAACAATGGTTACTTGCCAGTTGCGAACGGGGATGATCCTCCAGTATGGCAGAGATGTTGTCCATTTGTTTCCCCGAAATCGCCCAGATTGGGATGGATCCAAAGAATTCACGTTGGATCACGTGGGCTTTCCACGCGAATTTTAGCATCTAAAAGTGATGCATATCACGTGTCTATTCAGTGCAATTTCCGATACACTCTGGTACAGTCACACATGGCAAGTTGTGAGTCATCTGTTTATGAAGTTTTATAGACAATTTCCCACTAAAAGCCTTCATTTATAGGATAGCATCACCATTCCCAGCACATCAACTGTCCAGCACGAAGCTTCACCCCGAGGCGATGGGTTCAAGATGCCCACAGCAGAGGAGTTGGTGCCACTGGGGCAGACGGTCTCCTTGGGCGGCTTGTGGGGACACTCAGACGGACTCAGACGTCTTGGGAAGGTCGTAGATAGGGTTTTGAGATGAGAAAACTCAGAAATTTTCACGGGATTCATAGGTTTTCAATGATGACTTTCGATTCATTGGATTTGGAATTGGGAAAATGATAGATTCCCAATTCCAATGGATTAGAGCTTCACTTTCCCGTCACATGGCCATACATATGGAAATGTCGGCGTATACCCCAATTGTAGACACACCCATAGGATCCTCATATGGGGACTCCAAAGAGGACCCCGACCAGCGATGGACACATATACAGTACATGATTCAAACTTATAATATATACATATATAGAATATATATATGTATATAAGTGAAAGGATTGTAAGGATTGATAACATCCCAACAAACCCTTATTTGTTTGGGATGATCTTCAGGATCCTATGATTTAGTTGTGCTCAACATATTTTCAAAAAATGGACTGTGGAATACCGGTGACGGCCAAATTAATGTGTTGCTCTTGGATTTTTTGTCCGTTGAGACCTCCGTGACATGTAGCACTTTGGGAGGTTTTCACACATGGTCCAGGACCCCTTGAAGATGACCATTCTCTTGACCATCACCATTGCCTGAGAACGTAGAGATAGACGGAACCAAATTGTAGACATGTGCTTCCCAAACAGTACCCCACCTCCATGGTAATCTGTACCCCTGTGCTGGGGGGATCACACCTTTTGTCTGATTCGACTTCGCAAAGCTTAGGATGGGCGTGTGCTCTGGATTTGCCTTGAAGAAGGTCGAGATTTGCGAGGGATTGTCTATTCAATTCATGTTTCAGCCGGAAACAAGTCTCATTTCTGCACGTGTACACATGTTTTGTATACAGGATTTTCAGTGAGCTCGTTCAATCTTGTATTTTTTATTTCGTTCCATCCGATTCCATCCCACCTTACTTAAGCTTGAAATCTTCCCGTCCGGCGTCGCGTTAGGTGGGAAAGTTTGCCGCCGGACTCTTCGGAGCGCTCTTCTGCTTTCAGCAGGCGGACTGGGACACGGATCCCTGGCGGATGCCGAAGATGATGTCAATGGGCCGGTGAAGGAGTCCCATGTGTTTGTCCTGATTTTTGGAATGATAGCAACTGGTTTCCGTTGAATCTAGAAACAGAACTTTGGGTTGGTTTGGGGAACTGTTTGTATACATATTTAACCATATTCATATACAGATTTCCCCTTACAGGTTATTGAAACAACTAGTGATTTGCCCTCAATTTGGCGATCCAAGTCGTAAGTAGCGTGTTGCCAGGCATTGGCTTACCAGGGCTATGTCACCATGAGCCCTGGCAAGGAAGGAGATTTGTATTGTGAAGTCAGAGAATTGCGGGGTATAGATGGGATACAATATTATGGATAGGATAATAAATGAGGTATCTATGATGCTCAACTAAATGTTTTGATTTGGCAATTGGAGGGTACAAGAATTTAGTTTGTTTTCTTATCTACCGCACCCCACTACTGTAGTCACTTTTTGGAGGGATTCGAAGCCCAAAACCACAACATATATACTTTGCTAATTTAGCATGGCTATGAAAAACCACCATTTCTCAGAGGTACATCATCGAACTAAATGAACCTTTTTGATATAATTATAATAGATATATATAGTTTAATCCATTCTCCATGGCTATGTTAAATTCTTACCAACGGGTACGATTAGGAAAATCATGACAGCAGGTTTCAGCCAAGGTGACGGGTGGAAAGGGACCAGTCGGACCCCGGACGTTGTACACCCAGGAACTGGCCGAAGATCGAGCCGAGTCCTTAGCCGAAAACTGCTACAATCTCCACAGGGTTTGTACAATACATGGGAAACAGCCAAGTTGTGACCATGTTAATTTGGAAAGTGGATGAACCTTTGGATTTTGGGATATTTTCGGTCAATCTTGATTTTCCCGTCATGCTGGAACAGAGTTGAACAGATCTGGACTTCACACAGCGCATTCACGTGCGCCGTCCTTCAGATTTTAGATGATTTGGGGTCTGGATGCAAATTGGGAATTTTATCTATGTGTTGATTTTGGCAAACCCCAAAAGATAGAATCACTATTTTTCCATCTGTTTGGGTGGTGCTGTGGTGCCTTAATACTTGGTGAGTGTTGGTGAAGGAAAGACCTCACCGAATTGCTGGACATGAACAAGGACCCTGAATCGCTTTCCATGTTGAAGATTACCGGAGAGTATGCTTCCCAGAAACTCGTATCAAAATGGAAAACCACTCCGCTGTTGATCAATTTCAAATTGGAGATGCCCATGTTCCACGCGAAAAACAGTTGAACATGGAATCTTCATGGACTTCCTACAGTTCTTTGTTGCTGGCGTGGGCGTGCCCTCACAGGATGGTAAATTTGACGCTGGAGACATCAATGTGGGCTACACCAAGGTCTTGAAGGTTGGCTTTGCGGCGGCCAGTCCTGAGATCCCAAGACTTCCAGATAGTTCCGATATGTTCCGATCCCCCAATGAGATTATTGGATGATTATTGGATGATTATTGGGATGATTATTTCCCCAAAATCAGAAACCCTGAATCCAACTGAAACTCTGGGTCCAATGGCTGTTAGTTCCACTTCGGGATGTTCGAGTCACGTGCACCTCGCCAGGTGCTGCAGAACAACACCGCCGGATTATCTGGTGGATTTGCTGGTGGCTTTCTACTGGGAGTTCAAAGCTCAAAAACACAGCAGAAAGATCCAGAGGACCTGTTAACCTCTGGTAAACTAACATAGCTATTGAAAATCACCATTTTTAATGGATAAACTCACTATAAATGGCAATTTTCAATAGCTACGTTAAATTACCAGAGGGTAGAACCTGTTAGGACCTGTTAGGACCTGTTAGGACTATCATGGCAGAATCGATTCTGTACGTCTCCTGTTTGGCGTGTAAACAGCACCGGCGAAGCTTGCAAAGCTCACCGAGGTTCGAGTCGGCTAGAGGTATCCACCATACAGGAATACAGAAGCAACCAGTGAAGGCCATTGAAGGGTGATGAATGTCTCAGCTGTGAAGCTCAAAAGATTGGGTGATGGGTAACTCATGGGCAAATCGCCGACCTCACCATAAATGATGTTCAGTGGATGTCAGTAAGCCTTACTCAAAATCCACAAAATCTGTTTATATCATATCAGTAAGGGAAACCATCCGCAAGATACGTTTATGGTTTAAATTGATATCATCCTCTATCTCTGACATTCTGATATTCTGTGATTTCGGAAGATTAATGTGCCTTTATTGAGTTGCTAGCTGCGCCCTGTTGCAGAGCTGCTATCCTAGGGCGCAGCATTCTTAAAGTAGTTCGAGTACCGAGTTGAACAGCAAGGACCGTTCAGAGTCAATGTGTACATACCGAGATGTGTCACCTGCATGGACGTACCTTGCAGACCCTTCAGTACGATTTTCATCAATTTGATATACGGCTGTTCTTAAAATTGGTGATCCCCAAAGCCACCCAAATTGGTCAGCCTTAGCGATTCCATGGTTTTGGGGGGTCACTAATTGAGAGAAGAATTCATACAGCAATGGAAAATCCAATTTTGAATAGGTAAATTGTGTCTCATGGAGCATTGATAATTCCATATGATTTAATGGCAAACCGCAGGTTGACGCCGCCACCCAGGGAACAAAAGTTGTGTATGTGCGTTTTGTGTTGCATTCTATGTTCTAGGTTCATGGATTTGGTTTGAAAGACTTTTCTGTTGGAAAAGGGATGGTACTTCGAATAGCAGGGACACTGGCCCAGTGCCGTTAGTACCTGAGTTATCACAGATCTGCGGAACAGTCTGCGGCCCGCTCTGCATGTGTTGACGGCTGAGAAATTATTCGCATGGGAAGGAAGTTGTCGCACTGTGCATGAGAAATGAAGAATTTGCTTGCATTCCTTCGTATGTTGTCCTACTCTCAAGCCACAGAGAAGTGTCATGAAACCAAAGAAGACATTCGTACTCTGTAGTTTTGCATCAAACATGTTTGACTGATCTGAAGATGTAGTTTCCTTATCATTTGGTACTGTAAATTCACATGTTCCATATATGTTGAGCAATAAGATAATGTGTAAAGATATGTCAAGATCACTACAATTCCCTACATTAGTTAGATCTATGTTTTATTCACTTATATATCAATGTCTTTATTTCCATGAATATACATGATACCTTACCCACACACATCTCAAGGTCTTTCAGTCCTTGACTCAGTGTCGCAGCATGGAGATGGTCGCCCACCGTGCAAGGCTCGCTTTCCTGGTGGCGCTGTCATGTGGGGATAGCTATGATCATCCTTATGGATCCCCATGTTGCCACAACTTGTCCAACAAATGACCTCTAAGCTCTAAGCCATGTTGCATGTACTTGTGCAACAAATCACCTGATCACCTGATCACCTGATATTAGTATGCATGACACTAAGAGATGCTGGAAGTGTTCATTGTTTGGGCAGACAATCATCTACATGTCCGGTTTTATTATGTTTTATTTGCTTAGGGCTCTATATTCCTTTTGGGGTCATTTTTTTGATGATGCATTTCCCCCAAATGCTGATGCTGAGGAAGTAGCAGCAAGCTTGTCCCAGGCCGGGTTGGTATTCTGAAAGATATCTAAAGGTCACCCGTTGAACGCAGGTCGCGGCTGGCGGTATTGTGTTTTCTGCTGACAACTGCTTATGGACAATTTCTGCGAGGAGCAGGCTCGATGGTGGAAGTTGGGAGAGATGGAGCTGAGATCAACATCCCGTTGGGACGCATGTGGACACACAGCATGAAGGAAAATGACGGAACTCCAATAAATGGAGCGTAAATCATGCACGAAAACCTTGTGTTTTCGCTAAATCGTCCCCAAGTCATGTTGAACCAGTCGCAGTCCGTGAGCTGCGTTGCCCCGCTTAACTGGAATGATCATCCAGAAGACAACTTTCCGGCTTGAAGGGGGTGAATATGGAGAAGAACACAAGTAACACAAGGGTATCAGTTTGCACCTATAGGACTTCCGCTGTTGTTTGATACATTGGGTGTGCGACAACTTTATACTGTTTGTAGTCTTTCAATATAAAAGAAGCTGCCTGAAGGGCTGGACAATACTCGGCATGTTTATGCCTGAAATCGAAGCTTCTCAAGTTGCACATATGCATTCGGAGCGAGGCCTTAGCACCCAATCAATACAGACAATTTCACTGCAGTGCTGTCTTGATCTGACTCGGAAATCAAAATAGTCAAAATAGTCAAAGGAAACAAGTCAATTAAAATTCACCAGATCTTTTGCCCAATAAAATCATAAAGAAAACAGTGGCTTCATATGCGAATAATTGTTGAGAACTGGCCATCTCACATGGCCTCGCGTGCGGCTTTGCGATACACGCGACTGGTGAGCCACAGCCTTCAAGGATTGCGGTCAAGTTCAACTGAGACGATGCCGCCCAGGCTGCCAGAGGTCTATTTTGGCACTATGACCTTCGGGTGGTCGCAGGTAGGATGGGCGGGATGGGGGCCCTCTGCTCTATCGGGCGGTGTGAAAGCAAACCAATGGTGATGTTATATCTACCCTACTTGTACCGACAGGGATGATTAGCACATTTTCGTAGGCTTTCAATGTTCAGGTTGGCTGGTGAAGCCAGATCATCCTTGCCATTTTTTTGAGAGATAAACATATAGAAAAACAACATGAAAAACTGACGATGCTCTCCACAGTCAACACTGTCGAACTTCTGTCTCCACTGTGGCATCCCTATGTCGCCATTACCCAAAGGCCACCACTACCATCACTACCATGTTATTATGGACGGGTCTGTGCAATTCTTGGGGCTTCAGTGGTGACCAAGGCCAGCAGCAAAGTGGACGACCAAGTGTCCTCCGAGATGTTGAAACTGGGCGGCCGCATTTTTTTCTGTCAAGTTTTTGTCCGAAAGCAAAACTTCAAATCACCGCTATTTTGAGAGAAATCATCGCGGAACATGCAGCAAATAGTATCATAAGAATTAACTAATGCTGTGTTTTGCATGTTTGTTGACCAAAAACGAGACAAATTTATCATTTGGTCAGTCAATTGTGTATTGGCTAGTACTCGGGGACAGAGATTGATTGCTGTAGTGTTTCTAATATCTTCTAATAGCTACTTTATATCATGAATCCAAGGCCCACTTGCTATATATAGAGGTGGCTGGTTGTCAATGGCAGATCTTTGGGAACGACTCAAAAATGCTGAGAAATCTAGGAAGCTTTGGGACTTCTCATCAATTATCCGCAATAGAAAGGCCTAGCAGAAATGTATAGAAATGTATAAAAATACTATATGGTGGCTATATATAGCTGGTTTGTTGATTGATAGAAATGCCATATACATGTTTATATCTTCATTGAACGCTTCATTAAGCAACCCAACCCAACTGCTGTGGCTTGGTTTCCGAGAAATCTAAATTGACCCATTGGATCAACTCCTGTAAAGAATACCGTTGCATATACCAGTACCCTAGATTGTATACTTCACTATACATCCATGATAAACCATGAACCATGATAAACCCGCAGTGAATCATAGTTAAAAGAAGCCCAGGGTGAAGCCAAGCCAGGAAGAAATACGTCGACCTTGGAGGTCTGCAGGTGGACACTGCTCGTATCTATTCTGCTGGGGAGACCGAGCTGATTTTGGGACGGATCTTGCCACAGTTTAGCTCCAGGACTGGGGGGTTGGAGGTGTTTGGGTCCCAGTTTTCTCTGAAGGAAAGGTAGGGATGTTTTTTTAATGACATTAAGCCATTTTAGGAGGATATTAGTTGATTTAAAATGATTGAAGCGGTATGATTCGGTATGATATAAATTTTGATCCACCAACATGATCCCACCAACATGATGTCACCAACATGCTAAGACCCCTTGAAAACTGCCACTCCTTACATCATACGCCAAAAAGGGTTTCTTTATGCAAAAGTCCTGCTGGAAAAGGCAATTTCTGAAGTTCCCTACCAAAAATGCGGATAGTTTGAAATTTGAAACTTTGTGTGAGTTCCTCAGGTAGGGTATAGCTAGTATAGTTCAAACAGCGTCACCTGACTGCATCACTGTCCGACACCTCCTTTGTCTGCAGGAAGTTGGTCTTGGGCACCAAGGTTCACCCATCACAACCTGCAGGGCTGTCGGAGCAGGGTATCCGGACACAACTGGAGGAGTCCTTGAAGGCGATGAACGTCTCCAGCGTGGACATTTTGTATTTGCATCAGCCTGATCCGGAACATGACCTCAAGGATTCTTAGATTTGTTGCAGGTGATTTGGATGTTTTTTGCCCAACGGGTATATAATAGAATCCAGAATTTTGATCCATTTGTGATATTTTGGGAATCTATTGGGATTTTTGCTGGACCATCTTCGTCATCTCCAAGGAATCCTTGCAGTGTGTGCAAAATTTGATCAAGGAAGGTGTGATTGCCAGATATGGCATGAGCAACTACAGTGCTTTGGAGGTGGAGCGCTGCTGTACTTTGTGCAAGGATCATGGATGGTCCATGCCATCCATTTACCAAGGCCTGTACAACCCCTTGAATCGACTAGTTGAGGAAGATTTGCTGCCAGTCTTGCGCAAGTATGGAGTTTCCTTTGTTGCCTACAACCCTCTGGCAGCAGGCTTGTTGACTGGCAAGCATGGCCAGCCTGGACCTGCTGCCGAGGTCTTACCGGGTCGCTTCAAGGACAATCCCAACTACTTGCCGCGCTTCTACACCCAGCCCAATTTTGATGCCCTGGCGCCGATTCGCTCGGCGTGCGAGGCTGCGGAAGTGTCCATGGTGGCTGCGACCTATGCTTGGCTCCTGAAACACTCCGCATTGAGCGCAGAAAAGGGCGATGGCATTTTGTTAGGTGCATCCACCACTTCTCAGCTGGAACAAAATCTCAAGGCCTGTCATCAGCCCGCCCAGCTGCCAGAGCCTTTACTTGCAGCCTTTGATGCGGCCTGGCCCAAGGTCCGTGCAGCAGGAGATGTGTTTCCTTATTGGCGATCTTATTCCAAGGATCAGCCAGGGAGAGATTCGCTTCCACCTGGGGCTGCGTACTCAGCAGCCAAGAAGTGAGCGCCAGTGCACTGTGGAAAATGATCGATGATCCTGCTAGACCTGGATAGCTTCACCAAAGGTTCCCCATGAAGATAGAGAGATTCACCCCTAGGAAAAGTTTGAGATCATTGAGATCATGTTCAGCGAACTGGTTGCAACACCGATGTAGTTCAAGCCGAGATGACAAGATGACCCATAAGCCCATAAGCATGCGGTCCATGGCAGTAAAAATTCAGGTGAAACATGATGACAGTTCAAGGTTTGTGCAGCCCAAAGATCCCAAACAGCCGTGGCATGTGACAACTGGGCTCTCCACATCATTGCCATTGTCAAAAAAAACAAGTTTGCCTCCCGAAATTTGGTTCACATTGACTCCAATATTTTTTTTGCTTGGGGGTCCATTTTTTTCCGGCACTTTCCCGGCACTTCTGAAGACACCAACTAATTACATCTAATTACTTCAGATGCCAGTGGCATGGTCCACTTGTGTGCACTCTACTGTAGCATTTGATTTCAACACGGGAAGGATGTCCAGCCAAAAATTGAACGTGACATCATCCCACCAGCTGCAGCCAGGTGATACGAAGGTCGTGGTTCCTATTCCTCACGGCCGTCATGTGGCCTTGTCCTGCAAAGGGGCTGCGTAGCTTGACGCAGATTTCAGCTGTTTTCTGTAGGTGGCCGAATGGCAGCTTCCAAAAAGGGATTGGGGTGAAAACATGTTGATTATCCATGGATAATTACACCATATCATATATCCCATTATCCCAAGCATGTTGGTGATTATCTATGGTGAAGATGTGGGGCTTGCACACCATGTTCAACTCTTGCTAGGGACATAGTCAAGCCTCAGTGGGAAGTTGAGCAACCTAAATTGGAGGCACTCGTACTGTACCATAGTAATCCATAATAAAGGCCATATTTGGAAGGGATATTTCCTGACATAGGCCTTATATATGGTAGGTACCTCTAATTTTGCGCCCTGGTGATTGGCTTTGTTGTACAATCACTATAGCATATGACTAGTTGACATGTTTTGTTTGTGAAAATCCACGAAAGGGTCATCAACAGCGAGGGTGGACAAGCCGCCGCTAGCAACTCACTTTCCAGATGTTGAACTGGCCACGTTCCCCACAAAAGCCAAGTTTTTCCCACTTAGCTCTGGGAACATGACATAGTTCAGTTTAATCCATCAAGACATTTAGGCCAGCACAACAGAGAGGTCCTTTTCGCACACGTTGGTTGATTAAAAAAGGCAACACACCGTTTTCCAGAAACCAATAAACCAAACTAAATGGATCCCTTCATGTTTTTCTTAAAGAGGGCATCATGTTTGGTTGTCCAGCCCAGACAACATGATGACAATAAAACCCCAGAAAGAAAGCAATCTTCGCCCTGGAAAAGTGGGTGATTCATGACAAATTTGATATTGGCATGGGTGGAAACCTATGATGCCACATTCGAGGAAATCCACATCCATTTGCCATCTACTTCGATGTTCAAAAGGGTCCCAAAGTTTTGATCTGCCACAACCTCATGAAACATAATATATATATATTTATATATATATATTAATATATATAGAATTTTAATGGAGTTTATTTGATGTTGGAAGGGGCCACATGTCCCAGCACTTTGCTGGCCAAGGTTGCGCCTCCAATTGGTGCCCGCACATGGTCGACCAGCCTTGGACACCCCCATGATCGATCCTTCAGTGCCACAGGAAACGTGTCACGAGGCGCTTCGTTGCTTCCAATGGGGATGGCTCCATACCTGTAGATAGAACAGGGGGGATGAACGTCTATAATTTATAATAGTGTATAAATCCATATCAATCCCATGTTATGAATCGCTAGATATTCTACCCTCATCATATTCCCACTAGTATCAATATCCCCTTGCATAACCTTACATAGGTCTCATATATAGTAGATTAATGTAGATTATCATGGGTACCAGATGGCAACTCCCTCAGCGCCAGGTGGACACCAGTGCTGAACGTGGCGTTTCCACCAGCGCAGGATCGATGACTGTGAATCCGGCAGGTGAACTGCAGATTCGAGCCAAAGGTGGCCCGGCAGGGACTCATGGGAAGATAGTGGAGATCATGTACATTATATTCTACTCCATAGTTCGGGTGGGATAGTCATACATACACAAGATTTTGAAGGGATATAGTGGGTTAGTCACTAGTCGTATACATGTTTTTGGCGTTATTTTGCATTAATACATAATTAAGATAATAGATACACATATAAATGTATCAATATTATGGTACCGCCCGTTTAGAATGAAACATGGAACCAAGCTTTGAATGAATCATGGACATCATGATCTCATGCGGAGCACCTGAGTCCAAAGCGGATGGGAGAGGATGGTGGATTTCCTATGGCTGCCAAGTGGTGAATATCCCGAATTCCCAAGTGGGCTTGAACGGGTTTTAAACATGTATTTAAGAAAAAATGTGCAAAGATTGAAGCCAGCGTTTTATCATGTTTTATCCAAATCAAAATAGAGCCCGAATATTTCGACACCCTGCGGCGGGATGGAGCCGCAAATGCTGATGTTTTTACTACCATACTTTGGCACGTCAAGTGCTCATCTCGGGTTGATGGTCATAGCGCCATTCTACATGTGAGGGTCTCTTAAAATGGAGGATCCCAAAAATCATTTCGGTTTCAATACTGACATTTAGACTAAAATGGTCTAATTTCGGATGCTTTGGGGGGGTACCTTCATTTTAGGAAACCTCCATGTATCCGCATGTATTCTATCATGACAAACCTTCTGCGAGATCTTCTACCAGCCCAAGAGCATCCCACTTCGCGCGGTGCTAAGGCGGCCTTCTCGTAACGTCTTCCCTTCCAATCACCGGTGATCACGATTTGGTCTTCAAGCATCACAAGGGACGATTGCTAGGCAGCCTGTGGTTGCCAGGAATGAGTCAAGGGCCTGCGATTTCTTCACGTCATGTAGTTGGATTCTTCCAAAACCTTCAGAGCAACTTTAAATGGCTTGATTCGCCTTATTATAAACATTGGATACGTTAAACCATTCGTATGTATTCCGGGTCGAGGTCAGGGTATGATTCTCAAAGATTTGGTTTGCCTCCTACATAGCGACTTGCTTCATGGTGGCTTACCACTTCAGGATGGTGGTCATGGCCATCAAACCACCAAACTTTGGCTTGTTGAAGAAATCCTTGAAGGGACCTACGTAGTTACATACGTTGGTATACTGCTGGTTAGCCGTATGACTTCTAGGAGAAAACTATTTTTGCAGACCCATGTGTGTGAGTCAGGCAATGGACATATCAAGTCACTGAAGGTTAATATATCAGTATTTGTTGTGCTCTTATGTATGTATTCTTCTTTGGGTGTTGGTAGAAATAGTACAGTCGGGAAAGCCATCCCAACTCCCTCAGACTCGCGGAATTGGATGGACTTGGATTAGGGCCCTACAAGAAACTCATGATACTTTGGGGCCTAAAAAACAGCGGTTTCCGGATGGTTTCCTGCACTTTTTTTTTCTGAAATCCGATAAATCTGTTGATGACTTGGTGACAGGTGGAGGCGCCAACTCACCGAGCGGGATGAATCTGTCGACGCCCAAAATCAATCCTCAAGTTCCTTGGTGACCGTGACAAGAGCAGTGTTCAATGATGATTTTGTTTGGGGGGTTCATGGAGTTATACTATCCTATCTATTGGAAATTTCTTGGGATATATTGGGAATTATCATCATTAGCTCTGTAAATCTATCCAATATATTGGGATATATTGGGAATTATCATCATGATGGGAATCTCTATTGACCAACTTAAATAGGATAGAATGGCAGAGGTTTTTGAACACTGCTCACAAGTTGGGACGTTTGAACTCTGGTAACCAGTGGTGGCACTGGAAAATCAGGGAGCAACCCCCAGTCATAACAATGTTCTGATTGAACATATGGTTTCTATCTGAATTTGATTTACCATTGTACGGTTTGCTCATGGGAGGGCAAGTGGGTTTATAGCCGCAGTGGCTCAGTCAGTAATAGTGCTTTTTATCAGGGACTTGTTCACTCACCCGTTTTTGGCAGTCTAATTGGCTCCGGGGTAGAACTTATCTAAAACCGTTGAAGTCTGTCGAAATTACGGTATTTTAGGAGAATTCGGCTAGTGATAATATCAATATCACATGTTTGAACTACCAACAGCCGTTCTGCTCATTTCTGTTCTGCTCATTTGTGGAAGCCCTTTGAGGTTCGTGATTGTTTCTGATATTCCTCTTGCGGGCTACCCAAAAGGCATAGATTGTGGTGGTGGACTTTTGGGCAAGTCTCCTTCGTATCCCTGGACTTGGTTGATAAAGGCAGACTTGGAGGTTCAGCCATTTTTTCCCAAAAGGTACAGTACCCCAGTATCCCTCCCTCAGTTGCCCTGGGGGAATGAGGAAACCGATAAATCGAATCGAGCCCATCCACAGCTCTATGCCGAGGTTGGAAACACGGGAGTGTATTCTCCATACTATTACTCCGAGGACCGTGAGTGCACTGGTCCCGTCTCCGGGTCAAAAACCGACCACCAAAATGTTTGGGTCAACTGGCTGCCCCCTGCATAGTCCTTTGCAGGATGGATATTCCATGCTCTGTGTGGTAGAGCATTCTGCTACTCGCGCCAAGTTCAGTAGGTTGAGTTTGTGGGGAAATTGTATGAATGTGTCTCCGGAATCCATGCAAAAAAGGATGTTGCAGATTTTCCTTGATTGGTTTAAGGAAAATCATGCCAAGGTTGTTTTTCCTGAAGCCCAAGTACGGAGGTTAAAGGTAGGTTCTCCCTCAAAGCAATGCTGTGACACCAGCAGAAAGATCAGCTGCCACCAAACAATTGATCCTTGTGTTGCATCTTTTTGTGCAGCAAAAAGACTGAATGGAAGTACAATGAAATATATGTACTTCATCATGCACCAGCTAAACCAATCCAACTCATCCGGTCTTTCGAAACTCCATTGGATCTAAGGATGTGAACAGATATCCAGCAAATTATGAGTTGAAAGATTACGGTGACACAAAGAACGTGCACTGGTCTTTCACCGGCCTTTGGGACTTTTGGCTGCACCAAAAAAGCGCGACCCAAAGGGATTTTTCGATGCAGCAGGTTTGAGGAGGTCGAGTAGGTCACCGCTGGTATCAGAGCGCCACGAGTATGGGACAACCAAAGACAAATATGAAATTCATAGAAATGATCAGAACATTTACTGGTAGTTATAGTAATTAATACGTAGTTCATGGTAGTGTCACCCAAGCGAGTGGAACTACCTGTGCCAAGGACTGCTATGTCATGCCAGCGGCCACCCTCAAAGCAGGGACTGAGGTGGGGCCCAGTAGGTGACACGCTGAATTTTGTCCAAAAACTCAGGTCCAAAATCCACTAGTTCATCGTCATATTCTTGGCCATGAAGCATCATGAGACTCATCATTGAAATCATTAAGCCATAGTATCACATAATTGGCTTTTAGAATGATTACTTTCCCACTTATTGAATTCTAGGCCAAGTTCTCGATGAGTTGTGTGGGTTGATGGTTCGGGAAACACATAGCCATGGTCAAGTTAGTCGGGTTGTATACCATATAACCATATTGGATCATGTCGGGTGATGGTCATCAATCCATGTTCATAAGGCATAGGGGTCTATGTAACCAGATATAACCATTATGTGTTGATTCCCTCGAAATGTTCTATATCATAATTATAATTACTGTATTAAATCATAGTATCCACTATTCAATTAGTGGATACAACCACATATAACATCAATATAATTATATATTATATGTATATCATTATATGTATAAAAACTATTGACCATATAGAATGTTTTTTTCCCCGTAAAACCATTAGATGTATGTTTTGTCAACCAACCAGCCCCAGGCCTACTATACCCTCACGGGCCGACCTCCCGTGCCACCACGCTATGCCTTTGGCTCCTCGAACAGTTGTTTTTTTTGGCGCAGAAGGTGGGAAGAAATTGCCCCATCTCGTGAGTAATGTGGTTAAAACAATTTTCAACCGCCCATTGGGGAATGGTTTATACCACCTATTTATGGTGATTTGGGGGATAGCTTATTATTGTTTTACCCACATTATTTGTTAATTTCTAATAAATGAATGCATAATATTATATAATAGGTAACATTGTTTTTACCATTTTGGTGAATCTGTTACCTCTATATTAATATTTTGGGTGTTGGGAGCAACGATTCATGACACCCAGATGTTTGTTTGATTAAAGAAAACAAACAGATTGAGGGGTAGTATCGAACATGGCGAAATTATTCGTTTAGATGTGAATTTTATTATGGTTGATGTTTCATTCAAATGTTGGTTTTCCATGGTTTTGTGTCATGTTTAAGTATACCGTATAGAACAGTAATGTGGTGAACCCAACAAAGAAGCCACTTTTGGGTATTGTTTCAGTAGCTGCAGATCGAAGGATTGGTCAAATGGGGTATTGTTGAGGTTTGAGTTTGCGACATTGCCCCTTACATCCTCTCGTCATTGTTCATATTTTTCTCCATTGGAAACTTCACCTCATAAATCTTCAGAACAAATTCCAGCAAAAGAACATATTTCCATATTTCCAGCAAATCTTCAGAATAATTTCAGATCACGTTTTTTTTTGTTTCATATTTCCTGTGATTCAGTACATCTTCTGAAGAGCTGTTCTGGGACCCTGGGTCCACCCCCCGGGTCGCCGCTCGTCCCCAGGTTTCATCGCAAGCAGGCCTTGCGGCCTTGCGTCGCGACTGGCTTGGGGGGTTCAACCCCAGTTGATGATTTGTTTGGGGATTTAGCCATCATTTGTATGTGATTTATGGGATTTTTGGTTTCAAAGATATGGGAATATCATTGATGGCTAGTTTTCATTGATGCTTAGTTTGGGAACTATACGAACCAATAATAATGGGGAATATTACAATCCATTAAGGGAAACCCTATCGACTAACCAGTGCTCATGTGTTTCATTGTGTTCAAAACACATTCGACATAGTTTTACTAATGACTATAAGGTTTTATCAGCAATCCCAACTGACTGAGTGGGTTTCATTTTATCTCTTGATGATCAGGTGATGATCCCAATTGACAAAGTCGATCTATAGTAACAAGATAAACACGGTAGAAAAGCTTCAATTTATTTTTATTTCATTGGAAAATTGTAGAAACTACTATTACTATTTATTATACTATTATAGACGTGGACTTTTATTTATTACTATATACTACTATATATATATCATATGCTTTGATTATATACCTTTTTTGGGGGGGGAGTCATTCATAAGTCGGGGCTCGTGAAAACTGGTGCAGGTGGGGCTGGACGGATCGTGTCTATATCGAGGACACCTTGCAACGATTCCGTGACGGGAAATACCCGTTGGATGTCACTTGGCGAGTCGAGGAATCTGAGGAATCCCCAAAAATATGGGCTTAACATGGCTTAACATGGCTTATAACCATGCAACAAACCATGACAAATTGGAGCTGAACATGGTCTTAGAAGAAAATCTTAGGGCTTGGTGAAGTCGTAGCTGCTAAACCACAAGAGATATGTTGGGGAATTATATATGTATAAAATAAATAAACAAATAGATAAAACAATATATATATATATTATTCGTATATTATGTTGATTGTCACAGAGAATGATCGTCAGAAAATAATCAAGAAAAGGCTGACAAGGACATTTAATCAGAGTGGGGAACAAACAATGGGTTTGCACTGAAGGTATCATGTCCAGTTTTGCCAATGAAATCAAGGTTTACTCAAATCACTCCAGTGCTTTCCATTCATGGTGTATTGACCAAAAACCGACCCACTTTGATAAAACATTGTCGAGCAGTCAGTGGTGGATGGCTAGTTGGATGGATGGACGGATTGATTGACAGCTATCTGGATGAATGGATGAATGGATGGATGGAAGGATGGATGGATGGATGGATGGATACGGTAGGTACATAGATAGATAGAACAGATAGACAAGATAGAACAGATCGATACGATAAATTATGAAGATATAAAAAGATAGATAAGTTACCTAATGTATACATATATATATATACATATTAGATATAAGGTTGATAAGGTGGACAAGATGGATAATATGGACAAGATGGATAAACTGGTCAACATAGGAATCATGTCATTAATATTGTCACAACATATGTAGATGAGATAGGTAGACATAAGACATATACTACTTGTAGATATATATATATATTAAAACAAAAACAACATATGTAGATATACAAGGTATATCCTATGTATAGTAAGTACATATATATACAATATAACAATAGATGATAAGATATAACCAATATAAAATACAAAGATCAATATCTAGACAGATACATAAATAGATGATGGATAGTCCATAGATAGATAGATAGATAAATAGATAAATAGGTAGATGTAGATAGATAGATAGGTAGATAGATAGATAGATAGGTTACATAAATAGATAGATAGAATAGAATAGAATAAAATAAAATAGAATAGAATAGAATAGAATGATAGATAGATAGATAGATAGATAGATAAATAGAAAGATAGATAGATAGATAGGTTAAATAAATAGATATATGGATAGGTTAAATAAATAGATATATGGAATAGAATAGAATAGAATAGAATAGAATTAGATAGATAGATAGATAGATAGATTAGATAGATTAGACAGATTAGATAGATTAGATAGATTAGATAGATAGATAAATAGGTTAGATAGATTAGATAGATTAGATAGATTAGATAGATTAGATGGATTAGATAGATAGATAGATAGGTAGACAAACAGATAGATAGATAGATAGATAGATAGATATATAGATAGATAGATAGATAGATGTATAGATAGATAGATAGATAAGAAAGAACTATAGATAGATAGATAGGTAGACAAACAGATAGATAGATAGATAGATAGATATATAGATAGATAGATAGATAGATGGATAGATAGATAGATAGATGGCTAGATGGATAGATGGATAGATGGTTAGATGGATAGATGGATAGATGGATAGATGGATGGATAGATGGATAGATGGATAGATAGATAGATAGATGGATAGATGGATAGAAATAGATGGGTATAGATGTTTAGATATAGATGGATAGACATAGATAGATAGATATAGATAGATAGATATAGATAGATAGATAGATCGATATAGATAGATCGATATAGATAGACAGATAGATAGATAGATAGATAACTAGATAGATAGATAGATAGATAGAATAGATAGAATAGATAGAATAGAATAGAATAGAGTAGATAGACATATAGATAGACATATAGATAGATAGACAGACAGACAGATAGATAGATAGATACTAATGACAGATACTGTAGATGCTGTAGATTGATACTGCAGATATACATAACATGAATATTCATAGAAAGTAGTCAACATATACGTAGATTGATAGAGCTACGGTTTTGACTGCTTCAAGTAGAAGCAGCTTCAGCAGGACAAATGGAGGTTTCCATAAATGGGGATACCCAAAAATTGATTGTTTATAATGGCACATCCTATTTAAATGGATGATTTGGGGGTACCCTTATTTTTAGAAACCCCAAAATAATATGTTTAGGAAAGATTCAAGGCGTTGGAAATGCTAGACCCTCAGCATGCCTGCTATAGATGAATTTGCGTAGTTAAACTACGAGACTATACATAGGCATGAATAAGTTATCCATTCAAAATTATTTTCAGAAAGGCGGGTCTCTTTTTTCTGCTTAGATTGGGCCCTTAAATGGCCGTGGAACCTTCGGGTGCCAAAGGAGTAGCAATGATGATCAATGTACCTTGAGTCCTTAACATACCCATGAACATGGGTGAAGGTGCAAGCAGTAAAACACGAGTTTATAATGTATATACATTTTTGTCCAAACATGTGGGAGAACATGATGACAAACCAAGGGATAGCCGATTTTCAGTCCAATGTATAGTGTGGACATGAGTTGTAGTTTCAAAATGTGTGGAAAACATACCATCCCCCGATTCATCGAGATTCATTGATATAACCATGAACGAAGGAATTCCATTTGGGGATAACCATACCACATCCATGGCACAAATGGTGGATGAGATAATCAGATACCAAGCAAACATGGATTCTTTGGGCAGGTTTGGAAGGCCAGGGTTTCATGATGAAAAATGTTCACTCTTTTGTGTCAAGAGAAAGATCGACAACGCAAACATAGAAAGACCGGCTGAGGGAATCATCATTGACTTCGAATGGTCTCATCCTTAGCCGCGTTTGCTTTGATGAGCGTTCCACTTATGCATCGTCCTGATGTCCTTCACCCCATACTATGAGGTTTACCAACGAGACAGACTACGGCTATCCACCGGGTGAAGGGAAGCCTTACTACCACGACTTCGGTTTTAATTCCGCGCGAAGCTTGGGAATACAATATGACTCACCAGCTTCGCAGCTCAGTAGTCCGGGGATGTCCTAATACTACCTCAAACCGTTTCGCTGGGATTTTTCCATATCAGCATCAAGAAGATGGCCAGTGAATTTTTCATCTCATTATCTGCTGCAATATGCTGCAATTCAAAATAGAACAACCGTGGCTCAGGGGATGGTGTCGAACCGGGCCGGGCAATTTCCAGATATTGAAAAAGAGATGTCCATGATTATTTAAGTGTGATCTTATCATTTTTTTATAGCATGATATTTCCATGATGTTCCAGATATTTCCATGATTATCAAAGTCTGTTCATGTTTTTTCCATGTTGATCCTATTTTTTGTTGCAACCTTGCCAGCTTATGGAGTTGACCATCCAGTAGACCATGTGAGCCATGAAGAAATTCGATGGTTGATTGGGAACCCAATAGAGACTTATTACTAATAAATGTACTGGGGATATCTGGGGATTATGATAACCCATAGGGAAACCTATCAACCAGTATAATGAGATTGGATAGGGGTATTTTTTTTTATATCATGACTTATATATAATTATATAGATGTTAAAGTAAGACCCAATCATCATCCATATCATATATCTAAGAAAATCCCAGCGGATTCAGCGGATGATGTGTTTTTTGACATTCGGATATATAAATATATATACATATGTGTTGTTGTTTCTTCGAAGAAAGCACTATATTTCCATGATAAGAATTCGTAAGTTCCCTAAAACAAATTGCATCAGTTTGTTTTTTCCGAAATTGGGAGATTTTGGGAGCCATGACTCGTCAACTGTGGGGATTAGCCCAGGTACTTTTCCCCGAGCCTGACTATCAGCTGGCAGACTATCGCTTGCGTCGCTCGGCAGATGTGGATTTGTATTAAGAAAATGCTGTAAAGGTGGGGAATTGACCCGAAGGGATTATTTTGCCAACCCATTTATAATATACGTAATATTTATTTATTTGATATTATATAATATAATACATATATATATATATACATATAACAGCAACAGTAGGGATATTACTGATTATTACTTATCAACCATTTACATTAATGAACATGGGGTAGTCAGACACAGCCCGGCCCTTTATCGTTCAATGACTTGATCCGCAGCCGGGTCACTGTCGCCAGGCTACAATGTGCATGTGTCTGGAATCCGGAAACCGCGCATTGGGAACACGAAACTGATCAAGGTCCTAGACTTAGTTCTTTAGCTTAGGATGTGGGTCATACAAACTCCAGACTGTAGAGATTAGAAAACAATGGAAAACAGACTAAACGTGCTGAGATACAAAAAGATGCCAAACATGACAATGCAGTCAATTTCTCTGATACTGAGTGAGCAAAATATGCACAGATGGAGTCTACAGTGTATGCTGATGATGTACACATATTGATGAGATTTGCTGAGCATGTACCCTCTGGTTATTTAACATAGCCATGGAAAATGGCCCATTTATAGATGGTTTACCTATTAAACATGGTGATTTTCCATGGCTATGTTAAATAACCAGATGGTAGGTTTTCTTTTCAACATACTGGGATGGAACCTGCAGTGAATATCAGTGTTTTTTGGATCCACAGTGGCCGATGTCGAATGGTAAAAATGAGACAACTCAAGTGTCAGGAAAAAGTCATAGCGAACACCCCAATGTCAGCCAATCCTCAAATATCTTCAAATAGTAAAATGTGTAAACAACCAATCACCAGGTATAACCATTGCTATACCACCCTCTGGTACGTGCATATAATATAGCTATTGAAAGTGGCCCAGTTATTCGATGATTGACCTATTAAAATTGTGATTTTCCAGTTTGCAATTTACAAGAGGGTAGTCATTCATGTTTCACCTTTGACACCACTAGGAGCTGGATGAGAAGGGTTGGTTTCTGCCCAACTGCGAGCCCAGTGGCAGGCTCCGCTGACCGTGCGGTGGTTTCATTTTTTTCATGGGAGGTTGATACTTTGCTTTCAAGCAAATGTTTACACATGTTTCATCATTTGAAACACTTGATCATGATGAGGAAAGTTGACTCACATATTTTTGGGATGGGTTGAAACCACAAACCATTTGGTCTTTTGTTTATAGGAAATGCATCTCACAGCGCAGGTGCCCCCGATTTCGTTTGTGTCTCTAGTCTGGTGCTATGATATTCTGTGTACCGGTTTTCAAGGCCGCACCATCAGATGATCATGAGGGAACTGACAACTATGGGTGCTTTAGTACATGCTCATGTTTTTTGTTCCTCGTCTGGGACTCCCCTCACTCATCCCGCATTCTATGGATCACTCCAGAACATAGACCAGCCTCGAAATGCCTGTTGTTTTTTCCTTCCAAACATCTTGGATTTGAATTTGAAGAATCTGGTGATAGGTTGGGTGTGGCAAGGGTGAATTGTCCTTTCAACATGGCTGTTAGCTTCCAAAGTTCTTCATATTCCATCCAGATAGCTAGTCAATTTCTACCAACCAACTACTGGTTTGTTGGGCATGAATCAAAATTAATCAAAACTAATCAGATGCGCCATAAGGTTGGTGTTTCATATCATCATATGATCTCTATTTTTTCCCCGTTGAGCCCAACCAGTTTTGTTTCTCCCTAGGAGCCCTCCGGAGTATCCTGGATATGCCTGTGGCAGGTGTGGGGAACTGTGGGCAGAATGACGATGGAACCCTGGGACCCATTCTCCGAAGCAACTGATATTTACATCATGTTACATCCAAGTGGGCAATTCCTTAGAATTATAATGAATTATATACAGTAACTCAGATTGTCGCTCATACCCTTTAACTGAGTTTGTTGGCTTAAAAATCTTAAAACCCAGGTTTTTAAGGCTCTGTCACCAGTTTTGGGAGCTTAAATCCATATTCCCCGTACCCCAGAATCGAGAAGCATCATTGTAGATGCACAACCGAACATATCTTCGCAATCTCACCGGCCAAACTCACCATAGATAGCGGTTTGAAAAGGGGAAGCCTCCCCCAAAGATCCCCAAAGATCACCCTAATTTAGTTTTGCTTCACCCTGGCCTTTCTGAGGTTGCACAAAACCTTCATAACCGATAGGGGACGACCCTAATTTGTGCATGGCATGCGATGATGGACCCAACATACTTCTGATACAAGTACCTAGAACATCCTAGAACTGTTTTCTCCAAGACTGCAACGAACATATTGAACTAGCCGGCCCGTTTTAAGAGCCTGGGAAAAGCAAAACAAACTCAAACAACCTCACCGCAAGTGACTATACTTATACAGTACTATACATAATATTGACGAAACCATCAAACTTTGCATTAATGTTTATGATGGTGTTCAGAAAAACTATTGGATTTTAGATACCAACCGTATTCAGATAAGTAGCAGGGGCCGATCACTAATATGCTGTACTGCCAGTCAGTGCAGCTACACGTCAGTCGCTCTTCATGTGGCTGCCAGGAATTTGAATTACGCACTTCCAGAAGTACGAAATTGGTGCAGAGCCCAGAAGTCGGAAGTTGATTTAATTTGGCTAAGTTAGTGTATAACTACGTAGGTTAATCTCTGCTTAAGGGGCATTTAAAACCAAATTATAACCGGGGGAACCCCACCGCCCTTCATGTAAACCAGTGCAGGGAACTACCACGCTTCCATGATTCAGCCGAGGTATTCTGATTCTATCAAACCTTTGCTGGATGCTGGCATGTCCTTCTGGTGGAATGATGAGGCTAAGACCAAGGGTTTGATCAAGTCCTTGGGTGAAAGGGTGCCCCAAAATAGCATCGAACAAGATCACGCAGTTTTAGGACACGTGTCTTGAATTGTGATCCTGAGCCAAATAGGCCCAGCGTTTCCTTTGCCAAGTGGTTGGGTTTGAACACAGGGCACCCTAAAATTTAGTGTGTAAAGTGTAAAGCTACTTTTGCCAAGTAATAGATCGCCTAAAAATTGGATAAATTTGGTTCACAAGTTCCCCGGTTGTTGGACAAGCCCAAGTAGCGCGGTCTGTCAGCGGATCCGACATGCTATATGACTCTTTGGCGCTGGGGTAGAAGCGATGACTAACGATTGGATTCAAATGGTACCCCACTTTTGGACAAACCCTGATGGCAGTTAGAATGGTTGATGCAGTTTGGAACCCGGAGTTGGATTGCAGTGACTGATACGTTCATCATGACGTTTGTGTGTTTGTGTGTGTGCGCGCCTTGTTCGGATGATATGTGTTCACGTTTGTTCGTTGATCTGTGTTTCATTGTTCCAGCTCTAGAGAAATGTCGCAGAAAACCCTCCACCTCGGCAAATCCATGGTTTCCTATCATTTGTTTTCAGCATTTTCCTTAACCATTTTCTTTACTAAACTGTTTCCACAGTTTCCTTTTCTTTATGTTTTTCTGAAATAAAACCTCCTCAACTGGCTCCGAGTCAGGGTGAGACTGATTTTTTCACCTTCCACTGGTGGAACCTGGCCGAGAAGATGGCCTGAAACTCGGGGATGAGTCATGGGGGAGGACCTTGGGACACAAGTTTTGGATCTTGTTTTGGCTGTTTATTTCGTGTCAAATCATCATAGAGCAGTGTTCAAAATCCCGGATGGTCGATGAGTATAGGCTAGTATAGGGGATGATACTAACCAATACTGGTTGGTGCTTTGGAACATGTTTTATGAATTTCCATATATTGGGAATTTCATCATCCCAACTGACGAACTCCATCATTTTTCAGAGGGGTAGGCATACCACCAACCAGAATATATTCGGGATGATCTGATGTATTTTCTTATACAGATGCATGATTGGAGTGTGCAGCATTGTGTGGCAAACCTGATGTGAGGCTAGCAGCCCTGGAATTTGGGTTTGAACATGGATGATGTTACCCTGCTCCCGATCCCCCCAAATGGTCAGCAGATTTCAGGGGCTGGGGCCCAAAGAATTGGAAAACGCACAAGATGCCGAGGTACTTGCCCTTGGGTGTCCAAAGGGCTGTTGGTATTTATTATACAGCAGTTTCTTTTTTTTGTCATGTTCACCCCTTTCTGGAATGACCCCCATTGAGTTTCGTTTTTGGGTTGTTCTGGGCCTCTCGCCCCTCGAGCACTAACCACATGAAACATTAAGTTATCTGATTACCTGTTGTCATGGTCTAGCAACATCCGGGCGGTGAGATTTCAACTTGGAAACCTGAGTATAGAATGTATAGAATTCAGAAAAACTTGAAACACTTGGAAAATTGCTGGCTGAGCCTGGCTGTGTCCATCTTGATGGTCTCTGAGGCTCAGGAAAAGACTTTGCCAGAGCATAGGCAGTGGCCCCAAGTGCTGTTGCCCTTCCCATTTCTTTCACTTTGCTGCTTTTCACTTTGCTGGTGTCAAATTCTATAATTCATTGCATCCCAGTTGGACAACAGTTTCAATCACTCAACAATGCTCGGCAAGTCCTACTGTGCTTGGCGGCGTTTAGCTGCCTATTCTCATACTAATTGGAACTGGAAGCTGTGGGAATATATATGTTTGTTTTTTTTTTTATGTTTTTTTCTCATTCCGATTGAATTTCTAGCAGAGTGACATACTCCAAAATCCCTGCACCAGATCTTCTAGGAGCATTAGCCATGATCGTTTGAGCCAGGTTTCTCTCACTGAACCGTGCTTTCTCTCCTGGCATGTCTCGCTTGGGCGCAACTGTCTGGAGACCGGGGGGGGTTGGCCGTCCAAAGAATCCATGTCGCTTGGGTGGGGGCCATCATCTATGGGCGCCCAGGGGCTTCAAATAATTGAATCCATAGGTTTGATATGGTTTGATGCTCAAGGCTCAACCTTCCATGTTCAGTGGCTTGTCCATCTCACCAGCTTGCCAGTTTGATATTTTACCGAGGTAGTGAAATCCACAAAGCAGCTACAACATGCTACAACACGGTTTAGTCTATATAGAGAAAAACACTTCAAAAACAAAATACAACATACAAAATAATACAAAAGCGCTTTTTCAATCAGACAAAAGCATACCTCACAATACCTGGTTCACTATCACCACCACCACCATCATCTTCATGATAATAACATAACTGTTGTCGTCGTCCTCCTCCTCCTCATCATCATCATCATCATGATCATGAAACATGTAACATAACATGATTGTTTCAAAAAACATCAACCTCGACATCTCCAACATCATCCTATGAGTTATATGAGACCTCCAAAACGTGAAACAAACGCGTCACCTCCAACTGCCATCAGCCTTCTGTCCCCGCCAGGACGGGAGACGTGACTGCCGACTGGTCCTGGCTTCTGCATACGCCTGGGACGATGCTCAACTGGGTCCTGGCCGGTGCACCCATCGTCTCCTGCGACACCGGAGGCTCACCAACTGACAGGTCTGATGATTCAAGAATCAACAACTGATTGGTGGTTTGGAACATGAATGTTATTTTCCATAACCGAAGGAAGTTTAGAAGTCAAACTTCCGACAATATAGACAGATGAAAAGCAGAGTAGGGCAGAGGCAGAGAGAAGAGAAAGAGTAGAAGAGAAATAATCAGAAGAAAGCAGATGCAGATGCGCGAAAAGGTAGGAAAGTAAAGAAGATGCAGATGCGCGAAAAGGTAGGAAAGTCGCGAAACACTGTGTTTTTCCAATGATTTGTGGCTCCGGAGGGTCGAAAAGTAGGCTCGCTAAAGCGGCGGGTGCGGAGCCAGCTGGCCAGATGAGAGATGAAATATTGCACGCCGTTGTGGCGCGAAGCACAT